GAGGAGCTCAAACACAGTGCCTTCGCTCTGCTGGGCAGCTGGCCTGCATCCTGGGGTTGGGCCAGCTCTGTGCCCTTCTGAACCTGCAGATCCTGAGCCCAGGGCTGTGGGGAGACTGGCATCTCATCTCATGACTGGTCCCTGCTTGCGCCTCTGGATTCCCCCCAGGCAGTGCTTCCTCCTCTCTGGCTTCATGGTCCTCTGGACCCCAGCCTCAGCAGCGCAGTATGTTCTCAAGAGCAGACCTGCTCCCCTCTGCCCCCGACACCCTGCACTGGTGAGGGCTGTTCCTTGGCCCAGAGGACTCACTGGGACTTCACTGCTTCCTTGGGTCTCTCCCCACACCAGGTGTTTCTAAGGCCACAGACTTGGGTCCACGTCTCTCACCTGGCCAGGAGCCCCGGCCTCCCTGGCTGGGAAGGGCCAGGTGGCCAGGTGTGAAGCATGCTGTAGAGGGTCTCTTCTGGGAAGCTGCACTGCTCTTGTGACAGGGAACAAGGGCAGTCCCAGGTGTCAGACGCTGGGCGTCCGCTCCTCTGGTGCCACCAGCCTGCCATTTCAGAGGGKTTCATTTCCTTGCCTCGCCTCCCTGGGACACCCCTCTGCAGAGACGACCTGCTTCCTCTCGTGGAAATGAAGTGCRGCTGGTCCAGCCCGCATCTGGAGGCCTTCCTCAGCAGAGGTAAATTCCAAGACGATAAAGATCTCAGTCCCTCGCAAGCTGCTTGGCAAAATGGTCAAACAGATGAAATGACTGTGGTAAAGTCCGCGAAGCTGTTGTAGATCAGATCAGAGGACAAAAACAGGCAGACTGCAGCCGGGCGTGGTCTGAGGGTCTGACGCCCCCACCCCCACCCCGGCTCTGAGCCTTGTGCCTGGGGGCCACAGTGCTTTGCCAGGTGGGAACAGAACTGTACACTCTCATGGAGGTTACAGTTTGCCCAACTTAATTTTTTAAAACAAGCATCACTAGTACCACTGGCTTTCAAAGCCATAATCATGGAGAATGGAGAGATCTCTAAAGATGTGATTTTAACATCAACAACAAAATCTGAAATTTAGCGTTTTTAGACTTTTATAACCTCACAAAGGCAACCTGAAGTATAATTATAGACATTTAATAAAAACGAGTAAGAAGTTATTGACTACTAAACCAAGAACTGATCCCTAGAGACTGAGGAACTAAGGTGGCTTAATGAACAGTCGGGTTCACAGGAAATCACTCACAAGCTCACACCAACACTCCGGACAGTGCAGACGGCAGCGCAGGAAGCCTCTGTGCTTGGTCCCCCCACCCACGGGGCGAGCATCTGCTGGGYGAGGGGCCTTCAGAGCTCCTGAGGAGGGCTGGTGGGCTGTGGATTCCTCTGCTGTGCTTGCCAGGGAGCCAGGAAGCCGGTCCCCCAAGCAGCAGCACCCCAAGGAGCAGCACAGCAGTGGCCACGCCCACGGGCCCTGCAGCTCCGCCTCCACACCACCAGGGGCTCGCTCCAGGAAGCTCCCAGCAAAGAGCAGGTGCATTTCCATCATAGTGTATTTACACTTTTAATGCAGAAATTCCACCAAGAAGAGCTGAACCGTGTGGTCTTTGGAGTCAAAAGGAATTCTCGCCACCAAAATGATCTACTAGTGCCACGTGGTGGAAGAGAGGGGAGATGCAGGGCAGCCTGACAGCTGTTGTGACGTTCATGCTGTGAAGAACTTTGCACACCAAGCAGCTAAATGAAAGCAGGAAAAAAAAATGTCTAGCAAGATAATATCTTGAGGCGTTTACAATTGAGTCTATATTCCAAAATACACAGGTGGTCACTGAAGATATGAAACTTCAGTGTCCTTCACTAGTCAAAGAATTTATTTTTTTAATTTTTTTTTCAGAGTGGAAATTAGAAGTTTATTAAAGGACAGCAGAAAAGACTTMTCCCAGAGGAAGAWGGGGACCCAAGAGATGGAATCCCCAAAGCATTTATTTACCATGCATATTATATAGTGAAAAATATTCTTAAGTGGAATTATGGATCATTTCAGCTATTCTTTATATATCCCATGCCAAAGAACCTCCCTTCCCCAAGCTTTCAGAACAAAATTCTTAAATAGTCCCTCAAAAAAATAGTCAGCTGTGCTGCAGAGAAAACAGGACTGAGGCAAGACAGGAGGGACATGCCATCTGACATGCTGTGGAGATGACACATGCCATCCTCCAAGGAGCCTCAAGAGGAGCACCAGGGACCACCTGCGTGGCTGGCACACGGCAGGTCCCAGCATCCACTCGCTGACACGTTCCTGGGGCTGCTGAGCCTGGGGGGAGAGCTTCCAGGCCCTGCTCCACTGGATCGCATCCATCAAACACCCACGTGCTCTGGCCCCTCACTGCAGAGTAGTTAACCCTCTTTATCAGCAGTTCTGCATCTCTGGATTCAACCATGCATCAAAAATATTTTTAGGAAATTGTCATCTGTATTGAGCACGTAGACGTTTCTCGTCATCATTCTCTGAACCTCCCTGTATAACAACTATAGACACAGAATTTGTCTTATTAGCTGTAAGTAATCTAGGTGTGTAGAAGGGACCTGAGTCTCCACAGGTTCTGCCGTCTGCAGGGTCCCTGGACTTCTTGGTCCCATTCAAGATCAGTTCTGCCAAACCTGCTCTGATTGGCAGGAGGTTGGGGAACGTCAGTGTGAAAGCTTTGAAGCCGAGCCCTGGGAGCCCTGGCTTGTCCTGCTCCTCCAATGCTGGAACAAGACCCCTGAAGCAGACCCTCTGCTGACGTGCCGAGGGTCTGAGAAGAAATGCTGACTGTTGATGTGCTGCACGGCAGAAGCCACGGAGCCCGTCCCGTCCTGGCTGAGGCACATCCTTGGAGGTTCCGTGCTTGTCGATGGTCCTAGGACTCCCACGACCAGATGTTCCTTCTGGACTCTCATTTCAGACTCTGATGGGCTCAATCTATCTTCTTCTTCATCACTCTATCTATGGGAAGCAAASCGATCCAGTCCAGGTCTGGCCCAGAGGCCCAGCAGACGTGGAGTCTTGGCTTCTGTGGCTCTATATGGGTGGATCCCAACTGTTGGGTCAGACGCCCCCCCAGGAGGCCTCAAGTAGTAGGAAGCACTAACGCCAAGTGTTACTTCTTAAGGAAACTGTCTTTAAGGGGCAACGAGAATCAGACGGACTCCTCAGAAACTCCACCACAGTACACAGGGACATGCAGCCACACCTGAGACCACTGCCCTGGGAGGCTGAGGCAGAGGGACCCCAAGTGGAAGGCCAGCCTCAGCAACTTAGTGAGACCCTGCCTCAAAGTGAAAAAAATAAAAAGGGCTGGGGTGTAGCTGAGGGGCAGAGCTCCCCTGGGTTATTCCCCAGTATCCCACAAACTAACATGCCAATGACACAAGTATCTAGGAATTCAGCCCTGACAATATCAGCCAAGAAGAAATGGAGGAGGTTCATGCTTAGCCTTTAAAATGTCATTTCCAGAAGTCTTACCCCCAACTCTCGACTGTGAGCAGAGCTCTTCACTGTTGCTCTTGACATGGATCAGGCTGTGACATTCGTGTGTTCACTGCAGTCACCGGAGCAGCAGCCTGACCCTTGGGGAGCAGCGTGACCATTGGGGTGCAGCCTTTGCTGCACTTCCCCACGCCACCGGCTGTCCTCCTTGGGTCTCCCCATGGCCAGTTAAGCCCAGTGAGGGCCCAGTGAGGGCCCAGTGAGGGCAGTGTGGTCCATGGAGTGAACTGCAGGGAAGACCACCCAGCTCCTACCACTGAGACCGGTATGCAGGCCCAGAACATGGAACCCTGGACTTAAGTCTGTATTACAGGTAGAGTCAGCACTGGAACAAACCACAAGTGGAACGGTAAGGTCATTTTTCAGTTTGCCACACAAGGACACATGTGACTGACATTTGAGTGTCATAAGTACATAAGAATGCTGCTACTAATGAATTTTGGTGGCAAAGAAAGATATTTTAATGATTAGCAAAGCATTCAATGTTTTGGAAAGTCACTGCTATCTGCAATATTTTCAAACAAATTTGCCAAAAAGAGGACCAGAATTTCCACCCGTGCGTTTCCACTGAAGCGACTTCTACTTTCCTCCTCTGCTCACGTCAAAAGAACTCGATGAATTTTTCATCCTAGGAGCGGCCACTCTCCACTGCCTCTGATGCTCTTTGAAACCCAAGCTTTCCGTTGTGCCCAACTCAACGTCCTCTCCATTCACACGTGACCATCATCCTCATTAGGAATAACACTGTGGCTGACCATTTCCAAAAGGCCCCGTGGTCAGCTTCAACACTCTCAGGAAGGGGCTTTCTCAGCAGCACTCTCGACACTCCTCTTCCACACCAGCCTCCGGCAGAGGCAGAGGCAGAGGGACCCGAGGCTTGGCCCCTATGCTCAACAGGTACACAGTGGGTCCCAGGTGAAGTTCACACTGGGACGGACAGACGCACGTCAGCGCACCTTCTGGTTCTGTGCAGCACACTTTCCCCACCTGGCGAGATGGCAAGCTTCAGATGACCGCTCCTCCCAGCACATTAAACATGGACGACAGTGGGCACAGAAGAGCAGCAAAGGTGAAATGGGTTAATACAKGGCAGGGCCTAGGACAGTGCCTCACATCAGCATTCAGTGAACAGAGACAGAATGAGGTCAGACTTGGAGCAGAGATGAGAAGAGTTACAGCAAGGACAAGAGCACAAGAAGGCCTACAACCAGYGAGCCTGGGACAGACTACCACCCACGCCTGGACCTTGCCCAGCGAGGCTTACCTGAAGTCTGTCTGCTGTGAGGAGAAGAGCACCATCTGCTGTGCCTTGGACTCAAAGACCCTCAAGACTCCCCAAGCCTCCACCTTGGCCCAGCACCCAGCAAGAATGCGAAGACACCTGCCACACAGAACCCACCCTACCACCAAGCTGCATCGACACCTCTCCCATTATCGMAATGTTTTAAGACAAATTAAAAAGATACAGATTGAACTTTATTCACCATTATCACTTGAAGCTTGATTTATAAACCATTGAAAGTGTTTCAGAGTTCTGTATTACAAGAATTAAACAGCACTATTATCCCCTGTCATGGGTTCAACTTATATATATATTAAAACCAAACAGCATTGTCCCATGTGGAAACTATACAATATAATGACAGAGGCCCCAATAAAGCATTTTTCATTACTTTCAGGATCTAAACAAAGATTCTGAATGTTCAGAGCTCTTCTGCTATATTATTTTATATTCTAAAATCTATATTCTGAGTCAATTATTTGACCAAAACAATTGAGAAAAGTAATTAGCTTTGTAGCAAAACACTTTCCACCTACAAGATCATGTTCAAAGGAATTCATGTTGCAATGCTGACCGGATCTGCTGGCTGCTCTGAACAACGTGCAGTGCACCCTCCACATCAACCCTGAGGCAGGCCACTCAGGTATAAACAACAGTTACACAGAGTTCATCCAGAATGGGGCTGGCTCACCAGCAAAAGTCCTCCATGAAACAACACATCAACTGCAGCTGCCCGGGTTTCAGAAAAACCACACGGAGAATTACAATACAGCATCTTCTCCCCCCTCAGTCATTGACAGGAATTTTGTAGGCCACCATGCTGTTTACTTTGTGGATCGTGGTAGTAAATGAACGAAGACGGACTTCCTCGGAATTGGTAATGAACTGTGGTCCCGACTCTTCCCATTTCTCAGGTACCACCAAATCTTTGTCTGTGTAAATCAGTAGATCAAATGAACCTAAATCGGAATAAGATCATTAAAATATGCTATTTTTCCAAGGTAAATATACGCTCACTCTCTATTACAGGGCCACATTCTGAACTACCCATTGTTAGAAAAGATAGTTTAGCCTTGTCTCTAATCACTATTTTATTTTCCTCTAAGGAAATTTATTTCAGCACAGATTATACTCTTCTATCTTACCTTAGAAAAATTTGGGATTTTTAAATTCTGTAGAAAACCATGGAGATACAATAGGCACACAATCACATGACTACTCCTGACCCTCAGCCACAGGAGCACTGATGTCCTGCGGTACCTGCAGTACACCAGCGCCTACCACGGGGAGGCATCTGGCAGACGCCTAACAGAGTGACTGGGCTTGATAAGCAAGACGGGCACCACACAGCAGTGTGCAGACAAGCAGGCAGSGTGAGGAGCCACAGTGCAGCCTCCAGGGACTGCTGGGCAATACTTCCTCTCCTCTTCAGAGCTTCCCAGGGTTCCAGGACACACGCGCACGCGGGCACAGACGCACACAGAGCTGCTGCCTTGTGATGCTCCCCACTTACACTACAGGGTTCTGACCACTGCAAGTTAACAAAGGGTGATTCTGCAGGCAGCAGCTCAGCTGTTCCCCGGGAAACAACACTCAGTGTGAACGGGTGTCATACGTACAAGAAACTTCCAACAGCGGCAGAAACGTCACTGTCGCTGTGATCTGTCTGATCACTGAACGGATCTCATCCTGGATGGCTTTCTGAGACTTCTCTCTGGGAGCACTGTCAAAGACACCGGATCAATCAATTATGTTAGGCTTTAACAAGTGACTTAAAACACTGGCAAGTAAGATTATTTACTTTATTAAATGCTTCCAAAATCAAATATGTAATGCATTAAAAAATTAAAACATAAATAAGCAAAGGTCCCCTAGTGGGCCCAAAGCATATCCTGGCGATTGTGTACATATCCAATCATCATTCAGGGCTGTTCTTGGATGCAGGTCATTTAGTAGGAGATGATTAGAAAATCTGCCAAACACTTTAAGGCAGAAAAATTACAATATCTATTAAAATGAAAATTAGTAGTATATAAAATATTCAACTGGAATAACCACCTTGGTAGTTTTGAGTAATGCCTAAATATATAATATGTTATTGCTTCAAATAAAATGTTAAATCGTAATATCAGAGTATTTTTATTAGTTCAAAAAATTCCCTGGCCAGGTACAGTGGCACATGACGTAATTCTGGTGACTTGGTTGTAGGCTGAGGAAGGAGGATCGGAGGATCAAGTTTGAAGCCAGCCACAGCAACACACAGTCCCTAAGCAACTTAATGGGACCGTGTCTCAAAATAAAAAATAAAAAAGGACTAGGGATATGACTTTGTGATTAAGTGCTCCTGGGTTCAATCCTGCTACAAAAAAAAAAAAAAAAAAAAGTGGGGGGTGGGTGGGGGGAACCCTGAAATAGATTAAAGGTTTAAAAGCAAACTACATTTCATAATGAAAACAGTTCAGGTTTGAGAGACATCTCCCACATAAGGAGTGTGGAAACTTCACGAGTTTATAGCGTAAATATAATGGTCTATGCCATTAAATGAAGCACAATGGAGCTACATCCTAAGTCAGGAGACTGCCTGGGTTCATCCCCACAGTGAAGCACCTCTGAGCAGTTGATTCAATGGCCMACTCAGTCTGTCACACGCTGCCTCACACATCCCACTGCAAACATTCAAGTGGGAAGTTCACTGATTTAGACTAAAGGCAATTATGTCATCAGTATGCCTGTTGTACAAATTTATGAAATACTAAAGTGAGCAAAGGAAATTTTCCACAGAACATTAAGTATCTAATAAACTATACTTTATGTGAGAATAGTTCAATTTAATTAGAACTTTAACATAGTGATCAAATTCTGAAAAGAATATACATCAAAGAGGGAATAATTTGTCCTATTTACCTGTCGTCTTTTGCAGTCTTGTCACACTCAATATCAAATTGCCACCTTTCAAGGACCTCCCCACTTTCAATGTTCGAGATGACCACCACCAGCTTCTGAACTGAGCACTTGTACAGCCARTCTGCAACACACAGCAAGGTRATGTCTGCATCCGCTATGTTCCAGAGTACTGCCGGCAACTCCTCCCCAGGCCCATGCTCCGTCCTCAGTAAATGCCTGCTGCTGGTATTCCAGCCCTCTGCTCACTGCAAGAAAACTCATCCAGCCAAAAATCTAGCTACTTTCCCAATCTTCAAYTTTGGCAGCAGTGTGATCTTGGGTGCTGAGGGCAGAGTGGGGGGTGGGTATTATAATTGTGATGTCTGTCATGGAGAGGAAATTACAGAAGGATGGGAGAATAAAGAGGAAAATATGGTAAATTTAGGGGGGCGACAGAAGAACTATTTAGCTCTAAACATTAGCAGCATTAATGTATTGTTATTTATTATGTTGTTTCTCTCCTCTATTTTGCATATGTATTTTTTTTTTTTTTTGGTGTCAGGTGCTTCTCTGCGTATTATGAGATGCAGCACCATCCTTGACCTCTACCCACCAGAAGCCAATAGCACATGCCCTAGATCTAACAGTCTAAAGGAGAATATTGCCAATGTGCTCTGGGGACCCCAGCTGCCTTTTCTTGGAAACGTCTGCTCCAGTTGGTGCTGTCAGAATAGACAGATTTGAAAGGCCTGTAGTGAGGTGTRGGGATGGACCCCACCCTCAACTGCAAGAAGTGCATCCAGAACGGGGGTCCGGGATGAGTCACTAATGGTTGTTCACAATGAATATACAAAATAGAGGGGGAAAAGGACAGGCTACAAAGACTGAAAAGAAAGAACATGGGACCTCAGAGGGCTGCAAGCAGTCCAGCACAACTTCAGCAAAGACAGGGAGAATGGACTACATGCAAAGCCATGCAAACCGGCCTCAGGAGCCGGGGGTGAAGCAGGGCACTGTGCAGTCAGACTGTATTTCAAAACGGCCACCCTGGCTGTCATGAGGAAATGGACTGGAGATGTGCGCAGGGCTTGAGTGGGAGACAAAAAAGCTCACAGGAGGGTATAAACTGGTGGTGACGAAGAAGCTGCTCAGTAAAAACTGTTAACACTTACTGGATTAGATATGGGAAAGGAGAGGAACTCTCCAGGAGTAGCTTCCAAGTTTATGATCACATTTCTGAATGGATAACTACAATCTTGGAGACGATCCTGTACGACTGTGAGTCAACCACAGGAAAGTTGTTAGGGAAGCTACACACACGACAGAGAGAGTGTAAAAGGAGATGCCCAAGACGGAGCTCTGGAGGAGGTGGCCAAATTTTTGGTAAAAGGGCAAGAAATAATTTTATAATACTTAGTAAGTGTTTTAGGCTCATGGACCACAGAGGTCTCTGTTACATATTCCTCTTTTTAATACTCTTTAAGTTCATAAAAAGATTTCTGTGGGCAGAACAAAAACAAGCACCTGTTAGATTTATTGCAAGGGCTTTGCAATTCCCRGCATATACCAACTACTTTTTATTATGCTGAAAGGGGAGACTGGGTGGTAATTTGAAGGAGACTTGGAGTGAGTACTAACCCTTTGCATTCTTTAAAATGAGAAAGACGAAGCCAACAGGAATAATTCAAATCAAAACAGAGAAGCAAAACATGAGAAGAAATAGGACAAAGTCCTTCAAAGAATAGAGGAAATGGAATTGAAAACAACCAACAATTTGACTTTAAGGAAGAATAGTTCCTCTATTCTAACTAAAATAAAAAGCTAAACAAAGATCTAGATAGACATGAGGTGAAGTGTTACCAGAAATAACCCCCAAACCCAAAAGCCTTCAGCACAGCTTCCTTCTCTAGCAATGCGACAAATACTTGAGTGCAGCATCATGAATGACCATTGGTGACTCAGCCCAGACCCCCGTTCTGGGTGCACTTCTTGCAATTGAGGATGGGGTCCACCCCCACACCTCACTACAGGCCTTTCAAATCTGGCTATTCTGACAGCACCAACTGGAGCAGACGTTTCCAAGAAAAGGCAGCTGGGGTCCCCAGAGCACATTGGCAATATTCTCCTTTAGACTGTTAGATCTAGGGCATGTGCTATTGGCTTCTGGTGGGTAGAGGTCAAGGATGGTGCTGCATCTCATAATATTCAGGAAAGCATCTGCCACTAAATAAATATCCAGGCCAATGTCAACAGTGCTATGCTTGAGAAAACCTATCCTAGGGAATAAGCCCATATTTTCCCTGGTCTGTCAGTCTTGATCCTCCCCCATCTGCACAGTATGGGGGTTCCACTCCCGCAGATGTGATGCCAATGTCCACAGCTTACCTGGGGCATAATGCTGCTTAAAAGAAACACGCTGACAGTTTGGTGGCCAGTCACTGAAGAGCAATTTAAAACTGAACTGTAGTATAAAGGCAATTAAACAATCTGAATACAACGATGATTGATGAATTTAAAAATTCATAAGAAAAAACTGAGGGCCACTAAGTACTTTTTGGACTAATATTTTGGAAGATCAAATGGCAGAAAGACTCTACAACACACAAAAATTAGTAATCAGAATTACAGGTGGAGAGAAAGAAAAACCAGGAAGGATTCTAAAGAAATAACAGACTCGGAGAATGAGCACTGACTCAAAGGAACCACAACAGGTTTTTGAGCTAAACGACAAGAGAATGCTGAGCTACTAAAGGCTCACTGGGTCCCAGGCAGCATCTTCACAAGGCCGGACGGAAGCGGCTGAGGAATGGCCACAGAAGCCACCCGTCGCTGCCCCCTGGGCGGCCCTCGGCCCCCGCGGTCCTCCTGCGCACCTTTCAGCTGCTCCACCACGCTGCTGAGGTACTTGATGAGCTCGGGGTCGGTGGTCACCAGCAGGGTGAGCCCGTACTTCTGCACCCGGGTGAAGGTCTCCGAGGGGTAAATGCCGCGCTGATACAGGATGCTGTTGATGCCGAACGCTGCAAAGGACASGGACCCCCACGGTCAGCGCGCGGCCCGCAGCACGGACGGCGGGACGCGGGCACCTGCGGGCGGCAGCCCCGGGGTTCCCCGGGCGAGGCCACCTGCGGCGCGGGGCGTCCCGGCGACCCCAGCGGCCCTRGCGCCGGGTTTCGGGGGCTTCCGGGAAACGCCGCCGCCGCGTCCGGCCGCACTGAGCCCCCCCACCCCGCCGCGGGCCGCGCCCGGACTCACAGAAGAACTCGGCCACGATCTCCGCGCTCCCGCGCAGGGTGATGCCCTGCTCCCGGGTCACCTGCCGCGCCATAGCGAGTCCACCACCCAGACGACCGCTAACCTGCGACTCCCGCCACCTGGTTCAAAAGTAACGACGCGGCACGTCGCTYGCGTTGCGCACGCGCGAACGCCCAGGCCCCGCCTACGCAGACGGCTAAGCGCAAGCGCAATCGCTCAGCACCGCCCCAGCGTCAGCTACGCGCACGCGCAATCGCCCCCAGTCCCTCTCCCGCTCCCGCTGCCAGCGCTGCGCAGGCGTGAAATCCCAAGCCTCACCCAGGTCGCCCAGAGTGAGCATGTGCGAACCTACAGGCCCCACACAAGCCGAGCGCCTAGCCTCTGCCCTCTGCCCYCTGCCCTCTGCCACCTGTCTAATGCTCTCTGCTCAGACTTGACAGGYCATTTGCGCAGGCGCTGGGCGGTGYGATCCGTGGTTGGCCACCCTGCGAGGTGTGCGGGTGGCGCCCCAGGCCCAGGACAGCAGGGTCCAAGGGATTTCAATCCGCTGCTAGGGTCTCCCTGCGCGTTCCAGCGTTGCAGCGTTTCTTAGCGCTGGGGACGAAGGGCGGCAGGGAGGTGAAGACCAGGGCAGTGTGCAGACCCCCGGTGTTTACACAGGGTGAAGAAGGTGCAGCGGCCAGGGGATTGTGGGGACTGCTCTCAGCGGCTGGGACGGGTGTCTACACGGGGTGAAGCAGGCACAGCGTTCAGGGCACGTGGGGAGGGACTGCACTTAGCAGCCGCCACAGGTGTCTACACAGGGTGAAGCAGGCACAGCGTCCAGGGGAGTGTGGGGAATGCTCTTAGCAGCCAGGACTGGTGTCTACCTAGGGTGAGGGAGGTGCAGCGTCCAGCGCAGCGTGGAGACTTCTCTTAGCAGCCAGGACAAGTATCTACACAGRGTGAAGAAGTGGCAGCATGCAAGGCACGTGGGAACTTCTCTTAGCAGCTGGGAGTGGAGGCTACACAGGATGAGGAGGTGCAACACCAGGGCACGTGGAGACTGCTCAAAGCAGTTGGGAATTACTGCTAAATGAAGTCTGAGCAGCTTGAGTTGGACCAGACTCTGTTGTTCAGCCAAGTGAGAAAGGCCTGCTGCAGCTTGGCACATAGGATCCCAGGGATCATCCCTGCAGGAGGAGTCTGGTCAGAGCCAGTGGCCCTGGCTCAGGCTGGGGAGAACTCTCACCAGAGTGCCAGCCCCTTTGAGGCCCCTGCTTGTTGTGCTGAGGTTTCTGTTGTCTTGCTAGACTCCTTTGTACAGTCTTCCTTACCTGTCAGATCATGATGCACTGGGGAGATGTTGTCTTTTGAAAGTGCTCRCTTGATTATATCACATCAGGTCAGAGACCTCCTTTTTATGAACCTAATCCTGGACTGAGAGCTGCTAGTATTCAGCCCACATCACCTACACTGAATGTGCTCACTAAGACAGGAGTTTGGGCCACCATCTTGCAATTCCACCTACAGAGCATTATGTGGCAGGTTTTAATCAGGTTGAACCAGAACATAGATGTAGTGGGCTGTTGTGACCTAGTAGAACATCTTCCTTACATTCCTAGGCCTGTGTGTGTAGATCAGACTTGGGTGTGAAGAGCAGTGAGGCCGGGGAAAGCAGGGGGCTAGGAAGTGGGATGTTCATGGCTCCTTCCACTGGGAGGTTGGGTCAGGACCAGGGGTCTGGCGCCACTGTGATGGAGGGTGGTACTCACCTGTCYACATGAAGGTGCTGCATGTTTAGAGAACTTTATACTAACCCAGCTCTTCAGGAAAGGATTTCTTGGATTTAGGGTATATAATTTGTTAGTTTTCTGCAAATAGTTATTACTATAACTTGGAGATTCTAGAAATTAAAAGGTGGACAAAAAGTACAGTTTTTATCCATAAAGGAAGTTGTATTAAATATCTGTGTTAGGAGATGTAAGAAATCAGTAAGGTTTGGCACATACAGTCTGTGCCTTTTGAAGAGTATGTAATCTACTTTTGTTTAATATAGTTGCTTAAAAGGCTCACAAATTTGACCCTCTCTGTCTCCTGCCAGCCTGGGTGGCTCTTTTTCAGAGGACAGCCACATACAGCATGACCATATCTTGATAAACAGGGATTGCTAATATCAGGGGGTGATCTTCCAAGAGTACAGTGGACGTACACAAGTCCTCTCTAGTAATTTACTGTGCTTCCTCTATTGAGGTACGTGTGGGTGTGCAAATGTGGGTGGTGTGTGTGGGTGTGGAAATGCTCCACTGGAGAGTTACCTGGTGCCACTCTGCTGCAGGGTGCAGGTGTGCAGAAGGCTGTTCTGTGTTTGTGTCAGTGCTCCTGACGACCACAAGGGGGCAAATGCACAGCATCTGGCCCAGTTAATGAAGTGTGCTCTGCTCTGGCTAGGATTCATTTTCACTGTCCACATTCCTAACTGGCTAACATCTATCTTAACCKAAACGTAGCCCTAAACATTGAAGAGGTTTTCTTTGGCTCCTCAGACTGTGTAGGGACCTGACCTGAAGTTGGGCATCTCATGAGGCTGCTTCAGTGGATTTCCTTCATTGTTAACAATTGCACAATGGGTTCTGTATCTTTTCCCTGTATGTCAAAAATACATCACATCAAGTTGGGGTGAATCTGAAAGTTTGTTGTGCAGGAGACTTAGCCAAGTGGGAGTGTGTGAGAGGCTTSTTTGTTCCCAGTGGGCACATGGARGAGGAAGCGCTGTGAACTTTTTTGTGATTGTCCTTGGCCTGCTGTGCTTGCGTTTCAGGGCCAACAGCTTTTAGGCTGGTTTGTCTATAGTTTATTAGCTTAAGTCTTGTGTCTGTGATGAGAGCAATTGGGGAAGATCCTCATGACACAGGTTTGGGCTATGGGCACTTGGCCTGGGGTATGTCTGAACAGTGTCCTCCACTTTGATTTTCCCTTTACCCTGTAATGATGGTATTCCTCTGTAAATGTTTAAAAATATTTGTTGCAAGATTGAGCATTTGATGTTCATCTAGGAAAACCTCATGGAAGACCCCACGATATTTTCTAATTGGACAGTAGTCAGGATGGAGGACCAAGGCCACTTTTAGGGAAGTTCAGTGTCCATCTGAGCTGACTCAAGTGGAGGTACCAGGGATTTAGGTTCTCAGGACTGACGTGTTCAAGGAATGTTTAGGTGAAGTGTTGGTGGTGGCTGAAGGATGGACTGTGAATGTGGGATCTAGAGGGTTGGTCCTCGGAATCCAGTGTGTGGGATTTGCAAATTCCTGACTCCTAGTTCTCTTCCCAAGGCTCATCCAGTCCAGTTTGATGGTCCCTAGACACAGGCGGCTCTTCAGCACTTGAAATAAACTGCAGGTGGGAAGTACCAGATTTCAAAGACTAAGGGGATGTAAATAAAGTATCACAATGTTTTCTACTTGATTACAAATCGGAATTATATCTACACGCTTTGGGTAAAAAAACACACAATTTCACTTCTTTCATTTTTCTCAAGTCTCTGCCAGGACATTAAAAATGGCACACGGGGCCCATATTCTGCTTCTGTTGGCCAGTGCTGGTCTGCAGTGTGGGTGGAGGAGGCGTCGAGTTCGACCAGTCCCCCAGTGATTCTGATGCGGGTTAGACCACTGTTTGAACAGGAGGAGACTGCGATGGCTGTTTCCGTGTGCAGGGGAGGAAGTTGAGAGCCAGCACGGAATGGTGCCAAAGAGGTTGATAAGAAGGGAGACATCCTAGCAAGATCTCGGAAACAAACTGAGCTGATGGCAGGCGAGCTGGGGAGGAGCACAGCAGCCACCAGACAGGG